TTGGAATATCCTCACAGGCTTAAAAGACCTGCGTAGCAAGGGATGAGCAATTTAAGATGAAGTTGGGATAGGAAAAACAGCAGACTGTACAGGGTCTTCTAAAACAATGGGAGTAAATGAGGACTGTTGAGCAAGAGATTGTCTTTATCATATTTCTCCATCCATCAGTCCCTTGGATGGATTGAAAGAAAAGATTAGGATCCTGTGAATGCAGGAAAGGAGCTGGAACAGAAAGCTGGAAGACAGGAAGCTACTGAATTAATCCATACAAGAGATAAGAACGCCTTTGACTCTACAGAGATGCAAGTGGACATGGAGAGAGTGGGTAGTTCAAGATGTATTTTGGAGGTAGGACAGATGGCACTGTGAGTGGATCTGATATGCAGGATGGACAAGAAGAAATAAAAGGGTGAGTCTTCAATTTCTATTTTGACCAATTAGATATCCAACTTTTTCAGTGATGGGAAAACAGGAAGAAAGAGGGTGTTTGAAACTGAAAAGATGGTATTTAAAACCATAGGATGAATTATATTATCCAGGAAAGAATATGAGAAAAAAGAGAACTTGGGAACCCAACAATTAAAAGGCAGGGAGATGAGAAAGAGCCAACAAAGAAGACTTGAGAGGGAGCCACTGCAAATAAGGGGCGGAGGGATGCTGACAAAGGAGTGTTTTGCTGAGGAAGTAATTAACTTTCAAAAGCTTCTGAGATTTAAGTTAGAAGGACAGAAAGCTGACCTTGGAAACTGACCAGCTGGAGTTCAACAGAGGCACTGACAAGACTCATAATGGAATGTTGAGGAGAGAATACAAGTTGGGGTGAGTTCTAGGTGGGAAGTTAGGAACAGGAAACGGCATACAGGAACTGAAGAAATTCGTACTGCCTACTTTGACAAAAAAGTTATTTGTAACAAGTTACTTGGTAAGTTGGGGATATACAAACAGATTTACATCTCTATAAAATATTTTAACATGGTCCTGGTTTATTTTAAACTTATGGGCAGCATTTCTTCAATTATCAACTTAGCAGAAAAATTATGACTTGATCACTTTTCTTAGTTTATTCTCGTATCTTAAACATTATAACCATTATTTCAAACCACTTTCATATTTTACAAAAACACTGCAGAGAGCTCAGGGGGGCATGTGAATAACAAGTCAGACATGGTTTCTGCAAACTTAAGTGCGTTGAAAGACTTTCCCACATACTGCATGTATTCCAAGGGTGAAAACAGACTGAAACTGAACAGCACTGAATATTCTGGTTCTTGCCTCACACTGCCAATTTTCCAGTGCCAGATACCTCTTTAAGGTAAACTAGATTTTGCAATAAGAAGAGGTGGAGAAGTTGGCTAATCCTATAGTATCATTGCTCATAAACTGTCCTATATTAGAATGGTTTTTAAGTTATTTTGCTCAACATAAATTATGTATACTACCATCAGATCTTTTATTAAATAGGTATCATGTTTGTTTTTTCTCCTTTAAAATAGAATTGACAAGTATTTATCTGATTACCTTGCTTTAGGCTTAGAGAGCATCTCTGTCTACTGCTGTCAGTCTTGGATTGACTGGATTACTAATGTTATTCTTGATGAGTTATTGTGACAATTAGCAGAATATCACAGTCATCTTGGCAACAAAATATTACCACTTGTACTACTGAGGAGTTAGTAAGAGGGAAGAAAATGCAGGATCTGGAATTAGAAGACCTGAGCGTGATATCCAACTCATTTGCTGTCAGGGTGAAGTGGACAAGTTAGTTTAGATTCTCTAGTCCTCAGTTCTTCTCATTCGTAAAATGGGGATAATAATACTTTCTCAACCATATCACAGGGCAGTCAGCATGTTCACGTGTGAAAGCATTTTAAAGCTATAAAAGCTTGGAATACTTGGTCAATATTGTGGGGATGTGAATATTAAACAAATTTTTACCTCCCTTAGACTCTGAAAATTTGCCATGTTTTTTCTTACTAACTTTTAAGTCGTCTTCGCTTTATTTCCCATCTTTTGGCTTCATTGAAATCTGTTTTGCTTTATTTGTTCATTTCTTAGCCTAATCCTTCAAGGCTACCAGTTCTGCTATTATACCTTTATGTTAGAATTAATTTTAACAAATTTAAATGGAAGAGAGAAATCTTTTTGTAGAAGCATATCCATTTTCTTTTACCTATTTCATATCAGCATAGATGACATCAGCTCTAAGAAGCAGAATCTCTGGTCTTCTAGGTTCCCACGTTTTGTTCTTACTCCAAAGATATGGAGCCTTTAGCAACATGAATCTGTCAGTATTTCCAGTTCTTGGGTAACACAGCTTTACATTCAGAAATGAACAGGGCAACAGAGGATTCGTCAATGTGAGCTGCAGAAGGGCCTCTTACTCTCTAGCTACCTGAATCTTTTTCATAAGATTTCACTATTTAATTTTCAAATGGAACACAAAAGCTCATGCCTAATGTTCTATAATAATTGCTTAAAACTAAGTGTTTCCCTGCATGGATCTGCTGTATTAGGAAAGAATTTTGCTTAATGCATACTTACAAAAAATGTCCTGCTGAATCACACTGCCAAGAAGGCAAAATATCCAAGAGCAGAATGGAAACACTGACATTTAGTCTAGCATAGTGCAGCAAAGCATGAGGCAGTTCATCTGAGCCTGATTTTATACAAAGCAGTTTGATAACAACAGTGGCAGGGAGACAGCTAAGGAGGTCGGGTTAAATGCCTGCCTACTCTCTCTTCTCCTTCTGGGATGTCACCGAGGACTAGGCTAGGGCAATGCTGGTAATAAGGGGCAAAGTGAGATCAACATGCTGAGTCACCATTTAATAAAGCAGTCCCCTTCTCAGTGCTCTCCTTGCTGGTACGTGAAGACTGGCTCCTCAATCCAGCTCTTCTGAAATCAAATTATGCTTTTGGTATATTGCCTTCTGCCTACTGAAACAAGCTTTGAGGAGTCAGTTACATAAGGAGGTTTGACAGTGATCATTTTGATGCTAGCAGCAGTGTTTAGACAGATTTTTTTTAATGTACACCAGGGCCTTTCGGTCTCTGCTCATGTTCAACAGTTATAAGTTCCTTGTCTATGTTGGGTGTCATCCTGTTTAGTCACTGAATTTAAGATTGTAGATATTGGGAGAGGAAAATAAAACAGGAGAAATCTGTCTAGAAGTTTAAAAATATTTTACAACTACTCCAATAGTGCTTGTTTTGATTATTTATTGATTTTTCCTCTTTCATCCCCATTCCCTCCAAATGACAAAGACCCCGCCCCCACAAGAGTCCTATATTGGAAAGTTGCTTTGTAGTCTACAAATTTGGAGGGCCCTTTCTCCATTTATCAGCCATCTCCTTCTATACCTAATAATTCTAAGAATTCAATGACTTCTTGCAGCAGATACTAACAATACATACTCTATGCTAACATAACAACATTAATTTTACTTTAAATATGTTTACTGATTTTATCAGGCCTTCTGCCTAATTATTGTATTAATGCATATTTATCTATATTATAGGAATTGTTTAAAAGAGCAGGAGCCATAGAGTAGCTCTGTAAGTTATTTATATCTACATCTTGCTGGGGTGTGGACCTTTTTTTATTTGTTTTACTAAATTAGGATACATACGTGACATCTTAAGGAAAGACTAACAATTAGAAGGACTTTCCTCCCATGGTGGAGTATCAAAAGCCAAGAAGTTTGTTGATGAGGCTGTTACTGAATAACAGACCCACTGGGGGCAGGGGGGTGCCCAGATGCTATTACCTAAACTACGTTCCCCCTGTTTCCCCCGGGTCCCTCTGTTGTAGGTCCTTTGCCCGCCACCCTTGAAATTATGTCTCTCAATGGCACAGTTTGGTGAAAAGGAAAGGAACTATTTACTCAAAAGTCATACAGGTTTTGATTAATGGCTAAATGTAGGCCTTAAATCTCAAAATCCCTTTAAAACACCCACCAACATACACAGCCCTGGCTTCCCACCTTTGCCCAGTCAGGCCAGTCAGGGGTACCGCCCTTCAGAAGAAAAAGAACAGAAGTCCGAGGCTCAGCTAGGCAGACCTCTCGCAGTTTCCAGCACCATCCACTGCATTGCCACAATCTCCAGCTCTTAATCCATAACCATGTGGCACCTTCTCATGGCCCACTAGCAAGAGTCCTTTCTCCTTCTTCCTTCCCACGTGGTCTTCAGTGTTCCCCAGAGTCCATGTCCCTTTCTCTCTCCTGCAGGCCCTGTCTCCCCTCTCCCAGTTACATCTTGCCTTAAAGATTTTCAGACCTCCCTGGTGAGCCTTGTTGAGATGTAAAACAACTGTCTCTGCATATGAGGTCTGAAGCTATCCTGTTATTGACATGCAAAATGACTCTCAGTGGCCCTGCTCCAGGTCTCCCAACCCCCATGGCAGCCTGGGGGGAGGGTGGGGCAGGGGTAAGAATATCTTATATTTTTCTTGGACACCCGAAGTTCTGGACTCTGTTACAAATACCTTTTGTGGGGGGCTCTGGCTGTGCCCCATTACAAGACTTACATAGAACTTTGGGTCTTAGTGGACCAGACAAAAGTTGGTAGAAATAGACTACAGTACAATATAAGTTGGTTGGTGGGAGGTCTTGAGATGGCTTGGTGATTTTTTCCTGCACAGCATTAATCCTTTGTGTCTCTAAAGAACTTTTGCTGAACTAGACCTAAAGTCTCCTTCAATATTGAATTTTTTGTGTGAGTTTTCAAAGGAAAAAATTCTCCTTATTAAAAAATTAGAGTTAGAGGTCAAGATGAGAAATTTTTTATATTTTATATTATACATGATATGTTCATTATATATATATAATGTGGGTAGAATAGTTTGAAATAATAAAAATTTCCACATACTCTTACGTGAAGGCAATACTTATAACACAAAGAAGCAGGATTATTTTATTGAAAATAATGATTCTCATTTTATTTCGATGACTAAACACAACTTTATTGGTTTTTCTTTTTTTAAATAAAATATCTAACAGAGAAGAAAATCACGATACTCAGACCTTGACTTTGAGGTAAGTTTCTAAGATTTTTTAAAATAATTTTAGTTACTTGAATTCAAAATTGATATATAATTACCTAAACACATTTTTCTGTGTAGCTATGTAGAGATTCTTTTTATTCTTAATTAAATGAGAAGTGAAATATTTTAAATTAAGAGCTATACTGTATAAGTAGTTGTAGAAAAGTATTTAAAATTCTAATTACTTTAAATATATGCTAAAGTGAGATTTTCCAGATAAGGAATCCATTTTATAAATGCTAAGATAAGTGGGCAATTTATGGTAAAGTTGAAATTGGTCAATTCAATTTCTTGGGAAATGGGAATGTTGGTTTCTTGATTTTTCATATTTAAAACAATTATCATTGTTTTACTTAAGTGACTACCTGAAGACAGCCTGTGAGGATGCTTTGGCTGGTTAGCTAGGCTTTCTCTGGGACATACGTGCCTTGTGTCCTGATTTCCATTACTTAGGTTCTCCATGGTACACTCCAGATTTTTGTTTCCAATAGCAAGTGCTGGTTCAGTGTGCTCCTATGTTTCATAAATGCTTTTTCACAGATATAAACAAGATGAAGATGTTCATTTTCCAATTTACATTGAATTTATATTGATGCTGTAATATCGATGCTAGAAATTACTGAAATCACATCATTTGAGCAGCTTATGCTAAGCACAAAATTAATGATGTTTGAGTGTCACATAAAATGCAGTTATGCATCTTGATAATTGGATATGATTCATAGCCTGCTGACATAATTGGATATAATACATTATAAATTTCTCCAGCATCTTTGCGCTGTTGTGATGCTTACATAAACCTTAATACTCTTAGCTGGTATTCCTGAAATTACAGAAGGCTTCTAGAACATGGGAACTCATAATTTAATCATTTCATTTATGCAAATGAATGTTGTTGCTCAGTAATGTACATCAGGTATCAAAAGTGAGACTTAATTGTTTTTATTTACAGCAATGGTGAACAAGGTCTGGTTTTATCCTGAATAGAGTCGAAGAAAAATAGATCTTTTTCAGCAATATTTCAATAGTATTTGTACAGCATACAAAGTAATGATAAAGAATCTGGCCTCCATTATTATGTGGCAGTTAGTACTGATGCAGCTCAATTGTAGCAACCTGACATGTGATAAATATTTTATTATGTCCTGAGATTTGAGGGCAAAAAGATCAAGGCTATAAATTCAGAGAATATATTCAGCAATCTTCACTTTTAGGTTCTTCGGTGCCTTTAAAGAGATAAATATTTTAGTGGGCTATTTTTTTTTCTATTCTTCAGGCAGCCAAAAATAGAGGATCGTACTGTGTATGTATTTGGCCTGAAAGCAGTAAGTTTTTAGGTTAGCACAAAGACAAGGAGGTAGGAATTAACCCAGTAAGCATCGGTGAAATATAGTAAAAACCTAGATCAAAAATTAAGCCTCAGCATAACCAGCCAAAATTATGTAATCTCAAGCATTGAAAAGAAATCTAATCATACTGTGTCACTTGGATCGTTACAAAAACTTTTTTTTTCCCCTGTGTATTCTCTATGGCAACTGGTAGGAGATTCTTTAAACTGATACTTCTTTATGTGCTTAGTATTCCAACATATAACCACAGTATTTTCAAAACATATTCATAATGGGGGAATGTTGCAACATTAACAACCCTGGATTTATTTATTTATTTTTTTAGTTCTTTAATTGCTATAGTTATTGCATGATTGCAATAGACATCAAAATTTGGGGGGAAAATAACCTTGAACTATTACTTTTTAAAAAACCATTTAGTACTATTTTAGTTAGTCAATGTGCAACTATAGTTCTGTGGTGGATATCTCACTGGTGGTAATCAGAAAAAAAATGTAAATGCTGATGAATTTTAATACAGTCTATTCGTAGTTTCTGGGTGGTCCCTCAGGAAGAATCCAAGCTATCCTCTTCCCCTTTTAATTCAGGCAACATAAATCAAATTTGTTTACGTGGAACTTCCTGATAGCTTCCCACCCCCACACCACAAGATTTACCACTCAATGGCACTTTAGGCATTTGGCCACTGACGAGCAAACTTTGCCTCCTGGACTCCTGAAAGCATTTTTCCTTCAGGCTTCATACATTCCCAAGAGCCTACACAGAATAATACAACTCATATCGCCATACAACTCTGTGGCTATTAAGTGCTATCCCCGAGAAATGGCCCTTTCATGTAGCCATCTCTAAGACTACACTGCATTCCTGGAATAAATAGAGCAAAGTGTTGAGTAGTCATAAAATGGTGGAACACTGAACTTTGCTTCCTGGAAAGTATACAGAAAGTACTGCAGTAACTAGTCAGTCCTATGTCCTGTGACCGAAGCCCTTACTGTGTTTGTATTCTCAGCTCCAAGGAGACATTTGGTATATAGTAAACATTCAGTAATTTTTTTGTGGAATGAATGATGGAAAATTAAAATTTTAAAATTCAGGTTTCTTAAATAAAGTTATCCAACACTGTATCTAAACTGAGGCAGAGACCAGTGTATGGATGGACAGCGATGGAGGTAACATCTCCAAGATAGCCACATAAGATTTCAAAGACAACCACGTCATATATACTCAAGGAGGTGGACGGCAGTTAGAAATTTCAGGAGGAGAAAAAGGCATGGAGGTTGGCTGCGGTGTGACAGCAGGCTCAAGAAAAAAGCAGCGAACTTCACGGACACGTGCGATGTGCATATGAGACGACTAGACAGAGGCCATGTCATAAAAAGCTGGGACCCCAAGGAAGGAAATTTTACCAGATATGTTACTAAAAGCTACTAGGACTTCTCTATTGTATTTTGTTTTGTTGGTTTGTTGGTTTTTTCCCGTGAGGAATGACTTGCTATGATCTGGGCTTTAGAAATATCAGTACGTCAGTAATAGGAAGGAGAGGCGGGGAGAGGATAAACATGACAGTTGAAACACAAATTAGACAGTGGCTAGTTAAGGGAAGAAATAATGAGGGTCCACTTCCTAGAAGTGTTAGGATAAGAAGGGGATGAAGGGACACTGCAGAGTCAAGGTCTATGGAATTTGGTCCTTCACTGAACACAGAGTAACAGGGCAGAGGACCAGGAAAAAAGATGACTTTGCAGGTCTGATCCTGAGTTTCTATGAATACCATCAATAGACTCAGGGAAATTAAGAAAACACCTCATGAGGATGAGTTGCATTTTAAGACTTTAAGGTTAAGATGCCTAACAGTGTTAAATCAGAAATATTATGCAGGTAGTTTAAATTTCTGTCAAGGTTGACGACAAAGCTAAACTATGACATAAAACAGGAATTTTCAATCTTTTACATGTCCTGGCACACATAAACTAATAACTAAAATTCTGCAGCACAACAGAAAATATATTTTTTTGCTAATCTGACAAAAAATAGGTATAATTTTGTTCCATTCACACAGAATGCCTATTGTTGTGTTGCCCGCCATTATTTATTTGACAATCTAAAGAGAAAGAGGTCAGGTATCGCATGTTTTAAAAACTCTTGTGGTACGCCGGTTGAAAATCACTGACATAGATGATAAAATGTCTGTTAATTTCTACATATAAAGCATATGACTTGTACGAAATGTCTTGTTCATAATAAACCCCTCCCTACTTTGCCCCGATCCCCAGCAGTGAGTGCACTCTCTTAGGCAGCCAGGGCACTTCCGGGAGGAAAAGTCTGAGCCATGCAGTCCCACACTACATTCATCTCTGCTACATTACTAAATTTAAACTGCTGCGAACTATTTGAAGCCAAGTATATTACTGAGTGACAGTGACATATGTGTATGTGTGTATGTGTGTGTGTATATAAATATATATCTTATTCAGTTTTTTCAGATCCTTTGTCTAGTTTCTTTTAAGCCCTAGGTATTATAGTTATTCAAATAGAAACATCTTTGAAGCAAATGATACTATAATGAATGTCAGGCAGTTTGAGTGGCCACAGGTTGTGTCTGATGGATACATTGGGACTCTGGCCAAGGAAAGATACACAAAACATTCTGTTCCCACACACAGCTTTAAAAATTTCTGCAATGTGTGTTGCTTCCTTAACATGAGTTTTGACATTCATTTCAGACTAGTATTCAACAGCCCACTCCGGATGGAAGCCTTATATACAAAGCAGTAAAGGATAAAAATAACCGTAAGTTTAGAATAGTAAATATGGACGGTGGCAATATCCTAAGGCTGGAAAAGGTAATTCAGACAAAATGGTTTTCTAATTGCTATCAGCATACTATTTCCAGGCCCCATAATCTAAACTTTATAGTCACCAGATTCTCCAGCTTTTTGCTAAAAAGTCCATATATAGTAATGCCTATTTTACCTGTAATTCAGACTTAAAAGAAATCCCAACTCTGTGATTCACATTTTGATCTTAGAGGAGAGAACCTCTAAACCGAGGGTGTCCAACTTGTGGCCTGCATGCAGCCCAGGATGGCTATGAATGAGACCAACACAAAATAGTAAGTTTACTTAAAACATTGAGGGTTTTTTTTTTTTTGTGATTACATGTCACAATGAATTTAATGTGTGGCCCCGAGATGCCAAAAGGTTGGATATCCCTGCTGTAAACCATTTATAGCAAACCCACCTACAGACTCTTTATGAATCACTGGTATAGGAAGTAAGGGAGCACAACAGGAACAGAGGGGGAAGGAGGCAGGATTCCTGCCTGAAGCCAATGAAATGAGCCTTTCCTTCCAGTGGGGAAACGTCAATAGGAGGGAAGACCTTCCACATTATAGGCATCTCACCAAGTCTATATGCCTGTGCCATCTCATTTATTTGATTTATTCCATACACATTTATCCAGCACCTGCAGAATGCCAAGCTGTGCTAGATGTCAGGGATACAAGGTCACTGCCCAGGAGGTATTCAGAGAAAAGACATGGAGACCAGCCTTTCAAAAGGTAAAGGCAGACTTGTAGGATAACTGCAGGGTGATCAGTATCCACAGTTTATGAGCTGACTAGAAAGACACCTAATTCACTTTAGACTGTTTCATCTCCTTTCCATTTGAATAGGCATAATGACAAACTTGAATGGTCTAAAGGAGGATGCTCTCTGAATCTATGGGATATACCTAAGACAGCAGCTTGCAAAGAGAATTGACAGGATTCAGAATGAATTTTGGCTCTCTCGCCACCTGTGTGAGCCTGGCACTTTGCTTAGCCTCTTGAGCTCCAGTCTCCTAATCAGAAAAACAGATGAGAGGATAGCTGCTACCTCCCAGGGTCCTTGTGAGGATTAAGAAAGATAATAATGGCTAACATTTCTTAAGTGGCTCTTATCTGTGTGCTCCACTGATAAGTGACTCACACCCCTTTTTAAATCTTCGAAACAGCCCTTGTAAGGTTATTCTGAGGACTGAAACTGGGGTTAAAGGATGATTGGATTTTGTGCCTCAGACCACAAAACTTGAATGTGATGGAATGAGGTCTAAATCCAAGTTTGTTCAGGCCTAGAGCTCTTAGGTTGGACATGTCCCAAGTATTTAATCTAGGAGATTGCCTGGGATATAGTAGGTGCTCAAGACATACAGATTGTTTACATCCTAGTGTTTCTTAAAATAACTGAAATTGCATGAGAGTGCTTTACAATTATTTTTTTCTAACAACAACAATTAAAAGGCAGCAAAGACTGCCTCCCTTGAGTTACAAAGATATAAAATGAGACATAAGCTATTCATGATACAATATTTTTGAGCAGTTTAGGTGCAGATTCATACATAGCGTCAGAAAATGTTGAGTGATGACTTGAGTGGAAGGGAACATGACCAAGCCTCTATCTTCATTACAAAAGATGCCTGTAATATTTGACAGGCATTTTAACTAAAGAAACCTGAATTTTTTTTTATATACTGCCAATCAAAGTACATTTATTTAATAGGAGTTACAATTTTATGATTACAGACTTTTAGAAAACTGAGTTCTAAGTTTAGTTTTTCACAGAAGTGGATTTCTTTGGGACACAGGATATTTGAGTCACAGAAGGAAGAAAAAGATAAACAGATACACCCTAAGGTTAGTAAAAACCCCCAAATAGCCATTAAAATGGACCAGTAAGATTTATGAAGATGAAAACTTCTGATTAGGTGGATAAGACCATCAAATGCACAAGTGCTACAAATAAGTCATTATTCAGAGAAGTAAATAAATAAGGGGGAACCCTTATTATTTATTTAAACTAAATCCACAGCTAAGTTTTTATACTCAAAGATTGCTGGGTTAGAAACTCTCTAGTATTTGCTATGATGCTGGCTTTCATGTCAGTGGAACCTTCCTCACTTAGGGGAAAAAAAAAAAAAAAAACAACACAACTGAAATATGCACTTGAGTTTGTAACAGGGGGAATCAAATGAAGCCCATGACAGACACATGAGCTGTTGACGGGCAGCCCCCATGTGATACTCCTGTCAGAACCACCAGGCCATCGTTGTTATGGTGGTTTCTGGGTGCAGGAAAGTGGGGATTTCAAATTGAAATGATCATCTGGCATGAGGATATATTAACAATTAATGTTTTTACGTAGGAAAGGTCCTAGATTTCAGCATCCATAGTTTTTTATGTGTGTCCATATTAATTTCAGTACCCTTGAGCTTTATTTATTCCAAGTAGCTTTCATGAACCCATGTAGAACATTGCAAAAATGCTTTTTGGTTATATAACACTGGTGTCTACCATACATATATTTTGAGTATGTCCTATCAATCCAGCTTCTCAAAATCCACTCAGTTCAGAATCAGGTGCTGCCCAGTCCATCAGAATATGATTATAGAAACTCCCATCAGTTCATGTATCCTGATTTCTATGAGATATATTTGAGACTTTGATTAATTAACCATCTTCATCTAATAGAGATATTTTGTTGAGACAGAGGGTGTCTTTGACTAACAGAAAAGGACTTTGTTGGAAAGATAGGGAAAACAATCACCTCTTGGCCAGGCAACAGTATGGGTCTGGATCTACATTTTCAATAGCAGAGGAGGGTATACTCCCCAATGCAAAGGCAGGATCTGCTCATGAGGTGAAAGATAAAAGGAGACTGCACAAATAAAAGTCCTCACAGGCCCACCTTAACACAAGGGAGCTGTGCCCCTTAGAACTATCTTAGAAGACAATATATTTCTTGTCTCGTCAATGAGGTGATAATCTCATTGATTATTCCTTTCCAAAGACAATTCAAGCATAAGATTAAAAAAATGTACCAGAAATGCTCTGAATTTTAGAAAATGGAGATCAGACAAGATGCAGGAAGAACTGACTTAAGAATTTTCAACTTAAAAATGAACACATTGAAATGTAGGAACGTGACTCAGGTGGCTTTCTCCCAGCAAATTCCCCTATCCCTTACTCTTATAACCCCACCATTTGTTTTCCTTATCACAGTTCTAATTTAATGTGTATTTATGTTAGTATGTGATTAAAGCCCATGTCCTCCGTTATACCTCAAGCTATAAGAGGGCAGGAACTCTGCCAGACTGTGCACACCCTTGTTACACCAGCTTCTAGCACAACATGTGGTGTGTCAGCTGACAGAATGAAACACCTTGAGAGAAATGTCAGTAGTCCGGCATCACTCGTACAGCACCATAGCAGAACATAACTACATAGTGAAGATTCATTACCATGAAAAATACTATCTGTAAAGTAGAACCAGTCATCAATATCCTGATTATTATGTTTTTGTCAAAAAACTATTTCTTGTCCACAAATCCATATTTTAATCAGCATCTTAGGACCTGATAATGAATGGGAGCATCTGCCTCCCCAAGGAGAGAATGCACTGCAATGTTTGCCAGCTACCTGGTCCTCCAAAATCCCTCCACTGAGTTGCTTAAGCAAATCCTCCCTCTCATAAATCTCTATCAGCCATCATTAGTCAAATTATGTTTGCCTGGTGTTTCCCTGTAAATTCTGCAAATCTGTTTCCTGTACTCTCCCCAAAACTGATGGGAAGTTAATCGCTCTGTAATTGCTTGCTATGTTTCATGTCCCCATCATAAGTGATGTTGCCATGTTCTCATCCTCAACCACCTGATTCAGCAACAGGCAGTTGCTAGACCTAAGAAGCGCAGAGATTAAAATAATTTGGTTGTAGCAAGACCTAAAATGACAGAATTGCCTCAAATAAAAGTAGGCTAATAAAGAGAGAAGAAATTAGCTAAACAAAGTATTGCTTAAACACAGGTCCATTAAATATAGAAAATAAAAGAGAATAAGGCTTTCAAAAATGTGTTGAAGATTCAATTTGCCTTTCTCTTTTGTCTTTTTTTTTTCTGAGATAAAATATTCTCCACAAGTGTCTTTTTAGAAGAAAATTGGGCATTATAAATCTTTCCCAAAGATATATTTCTTTTTGAAAACAAATTCCTCCTTTTAAAAATATTTGGCAATTAAAACAACATACCGAATGTTCAAATTATAGCATAGGTATGAATATAATATACTTTATTATATAATATACAATCCACATGAGGAAATGATAAGTTATGAAGCACATGCTTAAGAATACTATACAATCTTATGCAAACATGAGGACAACCTTGGAGAATCACTGAAATACTGTTGTAACTTTTGTAAAAATCAAAATTGAGGAAGGTATTTTCTCCTTTAAAATAATACTTGTAAATATTAGGAATTTATTATCTTACTCTTCTTTTAAATGCTCTGTAATAGAAAAAGATTCAGCCCATGTTACTTACCCCAAGGTTATTTTTATTTATCACTCTATTTGTTGAGTTATGATGAAGTTGGGAGAAAAGACTGTAACCAGAAGATGAAATGTAGTAATATATTTGTGTCTGTGACTTCAGGGACTCATCAACCACACAATTTATGCTCTGAATCTTAATTGTTAAGATTCTGTACCATTTCATGAACAAATATATGAAACCTATGGGTCAAATTTTCTTTCTGCAAAACTCAATCAGTATTCATTTGGAAAGTATAAGATTTTAGATCTTACCTATATTTCAGACACTTCAGTGCTTTGTGTCAGCCTTAAATGGCAGTCAACTAGGGTTTTAGTGTTTATAGAAATAAAACATAAAAAAATAGTATTTCCCATGGCAAACACTAAGACATGGATGCTTTACAAGTCCTAATTTTTAAACATTTTTTTATTTTAAAATTTTTTGTAAAACATTATAACTCTAAATGATAAAAATCTTACACAGAAATGACTGCTACATTTTTAATGTACCCAAAAGAGAAAACTATTTCTTGGTAATAGTGGAAGTGGAAGAAAAAGCCAATTCTTCATGTTCAAGAAGTGCTGACTGTAAGACAAGGATTTAGTGCAACTCATTTGCATTTGTGGCACCTTTTGGGACCTCCTTGTTCCTGCCAAACTTAATTTCCCTTATTAGTAAGGCAAATATATTAAGTTTCTTTTTTAACACATGAATCAAATTAGAAATGAGAGCCATTCTATTCTCTTTTGCAGAAGGTCATGCATACAAGGAAGAGGCATATGGAACTGTTTCAAGAACTAAATCAGAAATTTCAAACTTTGGATAGATTTCGGGATATACCAAATACAAGCAGTATGGTGAGTACACTTTGCTTCATCAGTGCCTTGACACTACCCTAATAACAAGTCATGGTAGCTATTATCCCTGCCCTCCAGGACCTCCTAATTGTCTTGGGAACAAGAGTGGGCTATGTAGGAAAAAAAAATACCCCCCCACGCCAAAATGTACCTTGGAATGTGCTAAGGGGCAAACTAGGAATGACAGAATCTTTAAGCTTTTTTATTCGTATTTCAAATATTCTCATTCATAAGCTTTAATTGAAATTAGGTACATATCAAAAATATGTTGGCTTCACCTGGCTTTTTAGTTAGAGTTGAAAATTCATTCAAATACCCAAGTAACTAAATTTTTCAATTTTCCTTGAAGCCTGGCACTTTAAATTTGTAAAATGTAAATATTATATGTACAATTCAATTGAATTGTTACCTGAAACCAGAGGGGTAGGTTTTCTCTCCAGGAGATTTGGGAGACACATCAACACAGAGGGCTTTGATTGTTGATGTGACCCTACTCTCCTTATTCACTCACACAACAAAGCTAGCATCTGACTTCATCAAATAAAATGGTATTTTACAGATACTATGTGCATGGCACAGTCAGAGCTCCAGAGAAGGCTGCATAATTATTTGTGAAGGCACTGGACCAGGACACTAGAAAGCAGTGTAGTAGCAGGAGGCTCAACCAAGAACAGTCTGGTCTTGAACCAGTTGCCCAGCTCAAGTTTCTAAAGTTGTTTTCTCCTAAATTGAGCACAGGAAACAGTAATTAATATATGCCTCCTTCCTGCCTCACAGCACTTTCCAAAGCACATAGGGCAGGTGAGAGGGTAAGGAGCCTGAGACTCAGCAGTAAGGGAAAAAGCAGAATCACCACTTGATACCACTCTTCACTCCAAATGAGGTGCTCTATCTTTTCCTGAACCTCTGCAGTCCTTGGATGCACCTCCTCCTCCTCTCTTTCTGAGACCATTCTCTCTGTCTCTCAGATACATGGCATTTGCTCACTTTCTAACTCTAGTGACTCTTGTATATGTGTGTTATGAATGAGTCTTAGTCCTAGCTTCCCAAATACTAACATTATCTTATCAAGAGGAAGAATATGTGTGTCTTTATGTTTTCCTTGTGTTCCTCTCTGTACCAGTACAGTGCTGGTCATGGCAAGTTATCAGTAAAGGGCTGCTCTTGATTTATTATATATCTATTATACTTCAATCTGTGCTGGTTAAATGACAGTTATAAGAAATACACTTTGACTCTTAATTGGTCTATAAATAGTTTATGCATATATCTATCTCTTTTCCTCCTTACAGCAGGAATCATGCATTATTTGTAATCACCAACACGATGCTAGGCATGTAGAAAACACTTAAATGTAGTGAATGGTTCTTTCTCATATCTAAATATTTGGCTCTCAATTTTTACAGAGCAGGCAAATGAGAATAGAATTATTCAGATTAGATCCAAATACATTAGCTACTCAATTTTGGAATATTGAGATCTAATGTTGGAATAAATTGAAGAAACTTTATTTGTTTTAAATAAATGGAGAAGGTTATATTTACAAATCTTGAAAGGGCTGTGCAACAGATACAGCTGGCCGACTGCTATTAATATGATTGTGATTTCCCCTTGTTCTATGGTCTGGCTATTAAATCATTAATGGCACAAATATCTGTATCAGTTTCCTGACAACCAAAATAGTCTACTAATTACACCACATTTCTGTAGCAGCATGTCTTTTCTAGAAAAGATTTACAAATATTTATCATTTGGGAGGTAGGAGTAGGAAGGATAGAGTTGTCATTGCTGCTTGACTATTGTCCTAAATTTTGGAGAACAGTAAATGTTCTTATTCACTTTTGATTAATAATGAACATGTTAGTCCATTATCATTAATTCAGTCATAGTTTGGAGTGGCATATTGCTAATGGAAAATTTCATAATTGGGTAGAGAAAGACATTTTCAAAACAAAAATCTTGATCGTTTCCCCCTGCACCCTCCCCTCCCTTTTTTTTTTTTTTTTTTTTGGCAACTACCTCAACACCTGCCTAACACTGCAAATGATGGTGACTATGTAGAATTTGGGGAATCAAAGGCAAACCAAAAGACCATTTAGTCCATTTCCCTGCTTTCAGGCAGGACAAAATCTAAATCACGCTACAAGGAAAAAATGTTGTTAAAAAACTTTTACTTTGTGTCTCATAAACTATTCTCCATCAAGATCTCTTCCCCAAGAATCCCCAATTTTTACCTTTAGAATATAGAATAAACACATCCTTTTTCACTTTGTCCCCAATACTGGTAGGGAAAGAAAGAAAAGAGGGAGGGAAGAGGAAGAAAGAGAAGGAGGAAAAGAGTAATGGATGGAGGGAGGGATGGGTTTATCCTCAAGTGACAGCTGGCCTGCCCCCGGACCCAGGAGCAATGGGACACAGACTGCTCTGCTGTGTTCTGGGTGGCTCTGAATTGTCATGTTCAGCTAACATTCTATTTCCAAAAATCAGCATTTTTGGAGGTTTCATGTATGTTGGCTTATAATGAGTTTACAGTGGATTAGGCCTTTTTCACACATTTCAGTTTGACTCCATCATCTCTCTTCTGTGCCTAAACGCAAAAAATAAACAAACAAAATACAGCTGCATAAATTCAGGAAGTTGTGCAAACTCTGACAGGATCTTGTCAGATTCAGGCATCCACTGAATCCTTTCCTGGCCCCTGTAGCTCTCACTGTCAAATTCAATGTTCTCTTTGGGCTGTTCCACAGATTATCATTCATTCACTTGCACCACTGAAAATGTTACACCTTTCCATGTGTGAGTCTGCAGGCTCAGCCCTTGTCACACCCAACCACCGAGGAAGATCGGTAGCTTGTGGGCACCATTCCCTGAGCAGCAGCTCTCCTCACTCCCTGCAGATCTTGTGCCACACGCTGCTTGCTGGGTGCAGTAGCTCTTCAGCACTAAGCAGCATGGGGCTTCTCATCTAAGGGGTGTCCGCACATATGTGAACAATGGTAAGAACCTCAGTGCAGCTGGGAGAACCGTGGGATGCCAGAGAAGATGAACACGAAAGCCGACCTTAATTTATGACCCACTAATAGAAACTCCAAGAAATTCAGTCAGTCATGCACAGGCAGTGCTATTCTTTGAAAGTCGAATCTAGACATTCTGACAAAGTTTTAAATTGGCCCCTTTAGTTCATGTTTCTATGGTGCTTGATCTTCAAAATATAAAAGGAAAATCATACCTGTACCAAACATAATGCAACCCCTATTTTCAAAGCAAGTGAATTAGCACTCTACATGTCAGAAATCCTTTTAGAATTGAACTTTCTGTCAAACTAAGGATTCTCAGAAGGTATATTTAGACACAGCCCTACCAAGATAGATGAAGCCACTCTGTGGCTGGATTCAACACAATTCACGCCAGTGAATGTTTCAGTGGCTAATTGAGGATTCAAGTCACTGTAGTACCACCAAACTACAAAATTAATTCCAAATGTACGAGCCTGTCACATAAAGCCCCTCATTCACCTTCTGCCTGTTCTTGGTTTTTCTGTTTTGTTTTTCTTGCTATTCTTTTGTACTGCAACTAAAATAAATTGGTCACTGTTCTCAGGGTTGTCCCATCTCCATTCTCTCTGGATTTTCACTTCTTAGTATGCACGCCTGTTCAGCAATCCAGCCTCCGCCCCTACAGGCGCCCTCATGACCCAGGCCGTCCTTCTAAGCCAGCCCTCCTCTCACTTTTACCAGCAAGGTGTACGTGCTTTCCACAAAAACAAGCCACCTCTCCACTCTCCTCTATCAGATAGATAGATAGATAGATAGATCTATTTTTTTATACCTCCATTTAACTATAAACACCTTCATAATAAGTATGGTTACTATATTGTGAGCATTTACTAAATATCAGGTGTTATGCTAGGCAGTTCCACTTATTATTTTTGCAACCCTATGAAAGAGGTACTGATCTGCCTACTCCTTTGGCCCACAGTGCAAAGCTTTTTTATCTCAGTTTTACAAATATGAAAGTTGAGATTCAGAGAAGTTGAGTAAATTGCTCAAGGTCACACTCATACAAAATGGAGCAATTGGAATTTGGACGTGCATGTCGCAGGCTTTGAATTGCATGCTCCCTAGTGGACCATGTGCTGCTCTTCCACGTTTGACTTAGTACCTTACTCTCCCTAAGGCCTAGCATGATGCCCAGCACAGAGCAGCTGATAAATGCTGGTTGAAGGGAGGCAAGGGAGGAGAGAGGGAAGAAAGGAGGGAGGAAAAAAGGGGTGAGTTATAAGAGTATGGTGCATGAGACTTTAGGATATTCTATTAAATCAGAATTTACCCCCTGCACATATCCTACATGTGAACATTTTATTAAATCTTTACTTTAGCTATATTTTCTTGTATGTTGTCATGATTGAGGCTAATAAGTGCTGAAACATCTATTGTATTGAGGACTTTTGATAATTTATTTTCTGGTTATGATAGTATTTCTACAGATTGTCTCTTATCTATACTTCAGAATTACTTTTAATATACTGAGTAGAATGCAAATAATAATTTAAGTGCCTGTTCTATGTTCCCCCTGCTAATTGATTATAATTAATTAAAGGCCAGGATTTGGGGTGGGGAGGGAGTAACGAACACGTTCAGCAACTATAGTTATTTTAGTTTAATTTTTTCTAAGGAGTTTTCAGTCATGATTGCCTGCTTATTCTCTGATGTTACTCAGCTTTGTCTATTTCATTTAAATTCCCTCATTCTATAGAAATCTTTAAACAATACTTAAAATACAGAAAGTTCAATGCAAAATCTCAGAAAAATATTAGGCTATCGGAAACTCAAATGATGTCCACTCATGTATTTACTGAACACCTATAACCTACAATATGGAAGGTTTGGGTGGAGTCATAATTATGCCGATCTCAGGTAACAGGAGGCTATATACTATGAAACATAGGTAGGGACGGTAGCTGGTATGCAGTTTTTTTAAAAAAGCCTTGTATTGCTGGATATATTTTCTAAAAAGCTGTGCTCTTTGTAGGGAAGAATGACTTTTATGAAATTTATGTACCACCCAAATATATAAAAAAAATTGTGGGAAATGCACAACAGGAAAAAATAGATTACACAGAAGAACATAGCATCATTTTAATATTCTAAAAAGCGTCATTTCTTGAAGAAAAACTAAGCAAAGATAGTGATTAAAATTCAGTTTTATGAAATATGACCAGTTTTGGCAACTGTTTTAATTATTACATAATGTGCCCCATTACATGTCCTCAAATTGTGTTTATCCCACCAGAGGTTCTGACAAATACTTAAATTTGCTACATGTAATCTTAGCGTTAATTTGGTGCTACTTCCTGCTTGAATGTACAGCCATCCTGACATTTCACGAGATGCCCAAAACACGACACGGTCTATTTTGCCTTCTGTAATGCTATTCACTTCCTTTGATTGCTAGAGAATTTTAGGATAACTTCAAGAAGGTGTTCATCAGTTTGTTCAATGAAAGAAAACTGAAATCAAAACCATTTCCTGCAGCTGGCCACAATTTTAAATCATCTCCTTATCACATAAACTGGATTAAGGTTACTAGCACGCATTCTTCCTGGGAACTTCAACAAGCAGCAATCCTAGTCATCAAGTAAATGACTCTTTTCTCCTCTCTTCTCTACAGGAAAATCCAGCACCAAACAAGAATCCATGGGACACTTTCAAAAACCCCAGTGAATATCAACATTATACCACAATCAATGTCTTAGATACAGAGGCAAAGGATGCTTTGGAACTGAGGCCAGCAGAGTGGGAGAAGTGTCTGAATTTGCCTTTGGATGTGCAAGAGGGTGACTTTCAAACAGAAGTTTAACAAAATCAAAATGGCCTGAGATGAAGACAAAAATTTATTGCACTGACACTTAAGACTTGGGAAGGCTGACATTTCTACCTGGACAGGGTGACTATCCTATGTCAGGACCTTCACATGCCAAATGTCAGTGGTTTTTGCATATGGTAACTTCTCCCTAGTCAAGCTAGTGGAGAGAGGACCAGGTGTACAGTTCTGACCATCCTGTGTTGTAAGTACCTGTGGAATGGATTTGTAAGGTAATCTTTATAGATAAACCTCAAGCAACGATTCATGTTGTAACCGCTTCATATGGTTTAGTTTTCAAAAAACTTCACCATGAAGCACAATGTATATATTTATGCAGTTTTTAAAGTTTATAACAGTCTGTTTGGCCATTACTACACTTTTTACTTTATAATATAAAAGCAAAGTTTTTGTCATTAAATGAATGTTTGTTGAGCTACATTCTTCATTGCTTTAAATGCAATAAAGTAATAATCTCACTTTTATATGAATAATATATTTCACATCTTTATTATTGCAGTTTTCTCTAGAAAGCTCTGAGTAGCTTTCTCTGCTGCAGCTGTGTATAAAATATTTAAAATGTTGTATGGTGTAAATAAACTTTTGTCTACATATCAGTTTTTTAGTGCATTTTATTTTAGATTTGTTGAATGGAAATTTACATATTTATAAACTTTTTTTTGAATACAGATACTGAAAATGTATTCATGGTTTTAACAGCATACCGTTATTACTCCTCTGAGGCTAATGGTTTCTCGAATGTAATAGTAGATTTGTTTAGTGCTTCTGTATTTTCTACACAAACACCCTTTGGAAAAATGTACCATGTAAATGGGGCTTGTCAGAAACCTGCTGCCATCATACTCTTACTTCAATGGCTTTTTCCTACCTTGTGGCAAAAAAACAACCCGTAGAAAACAGTAAGTTGCCATACAAAAAATAATACAGGGAAAATGTTTATTATAAGTAATGAAGTTCACTGCATGTTTCACAAAAGGAACTACTTGCGCTACAGTTTTTCATAGCATACACAAAAAATGAACTTATTCAGGGTTTTAAGAAATCTGTTATCTTCTCAAGCAGAAGGAAAAAGGGAGCGGATGGATTCGGTACTAGATGATTTCCCCCTGGTTTGAAAAGTGGGAAGGCGGAGGTGGGTCGACTGCAGAACAATCCCTCCTGTCTTCCTTAGTGTCAACGCCACACGGGGATATGGCCCACTCCCCCAGAGCCGCGTTTAAGTTGGAAACACCATGTAAGGGTTTCAACAGCTTCGTTTTTTCAAGGAATGAATGATGAGATTGTGTTTTTCAGGCTGAGAGAAGTAAAGGGAGTGGAGAGGTGATGGCCAAAAAGTTCGTTTAGTTTTTTCCGTACGGTGGCTAGTAGCGCTAAGTTGTCTTTAACTTCATGTGAAACAATTTTATTAGACTGCATTGTAACAGCTGTCATATCAGCGTGCATTTAAAAAAAAACACATCAAAATTGGTGAATTTTTGTGCAGCCATTTTAATGTTAAAGATGGAAGAAAATACACATTTTTGGTATATTATGCTTTATTATTTCAAGAAAGGTAAAATACAACTGAAACACAAAAAAGATTTGTGCAGTGTATGGAGAAGGTGCTGTGACTGATCAAAAGTGTCAAAAGTGGTTTGTGAAATTTCTTGGTACTATTGACATTTTGGCCAACTGGTTCTTTGTTGTGGGGCTGTCTTAAGTGTTGGAAGATGTTGAACAGCACCCCTGGCCTCTACCCACTAGAAGTCAATAGCAGGAGACAGCCGACATACACAAAATACCCAAATCAATAAAGTTATTTGTGAAAATAAAAAATGCATCTTTTATTTTACGGAAAAAAAAAGTACGGACTTTTTGGCCAATTCAATAGATTCGTTTGTTGTTAAACCTAAGATGCATTGTTTTCTGTAGTTTGTCAGAAACTCAAGTAAGCTGCTCCTGCCACTCAGGACCTTGGGGACCCCACCCTGCAGGCCTTGAGGCTGGAGACAAAGGTGCTTCAACACTCAAGTGCGCCACTAAGCTAGAGCCTTAAAAGCCATCCAGCTCAGGCTGAACTCCTGTCAGATACCTATAATGTGCTCAATGTAAAGATGTTAAAAGTATATTTTTAATCAGATTTTAAATATCAAAGTGACATCGTTATGCAAAATAGAGTAAACCGTAACTAAGGACAGATTTTTCAATAAAATAAACATGCTAATTATAATGCAATGGTAATATTAAATGCCTATTAAATTTACAAGATACTTCCTACCAATAGGAATAGAATAATATTTAATATATTGCTCTCTCTATATCTAACCATCTATATCATCTATCTATAGGTTTATATCTATAGATAAATACACACATCTATATGTATGTGTCTCTATACATACATACTATACATATATAGATTCATAATGCTCAGCTCCATTTCAGTAACCTGTAGAGCGAATGAAAACCATATGTGCAGTTCCCATTCCAAATTGTAAAATCTTGATGAAAAAACCCATAATAAGCATATGCTTGAAAACAAAAGCTATGTTTAAAATACAAATCCAGTATATTAGACTAATATTTCTTGTAAAACTAATATTCATTAACATAAAACAAAATCTTACATTTTTTTATTTCTGTTTTGCTCTAGTTCTAGTAAATCAATATTAGATTAACATATGAAAGCTAACCAGAAATTGCATACTTAAAAACATTAGGGTGAATTTTTTGGTTACTCTAAGGATACCAAGCTGTAGTGGTACTTTTTGTTTGTAATCTATAAGAAAAAATTGCAGGTCAGTAAGTACTAACAATCATAATTTTAGGGAAGCTCTCTTCTAGTCATTCTTTAAGTTTCCACTGCACTTACACACATACTCGATCGAAGCTGAGCTGCAGCTGAACCCTGACACAGTGGTGGGCAGGTACCCACTACACTCACGACCTACCTGGATCTTTGTGCCCTTGAAGTGGATGTTCTTCCCATTCCTCCACATCCAAATTTTATGTATACTTTAAGGAACATCTTATTTCATTTTCATGAAGTTTCATATGATTTTCCAAGCTAGAAATAATTTCTTCTGTGAACTCTTATGACACTGCTCTGTACCTCTCTTAGGACTTTTAAAGTACTTTATCTTGTTATTTATACACATTCCTGATATCCTCTGGTGGACTGTAAGTGCCTGGAAGGCAGGATTCTTGTCTGATCCATTTTGTATCTCTTAAGGGACCTAGCACAATAACGTTCACACAATAAATGTTTACTGAATTATCTGTGGAATTTTTTAGTATTGTTTACAGTCATACATTCATATCAAGTCACACATTTTAAAAAGTGCTTATTAAACAACTATTATGTGTTTACTCATATGTTAGGGAATGACAGGACCTCTAAATTTAACTAGCTCATGATTTATTAAAAATCTATGTGAAATATTATTTAAATATTAATAAGCTCATATTACCCTTTTATTGCTCTTTTGTCCACATAAAGCAAGAATTACCCTAAAGAAATGGAGGCTCAACATACAGATGGCCAACAGATGTATGAAAAGATGCTCACCATCGCTAATCATCAGAGAAATCAAAACCACAGTAAGATACCTCTTAGAATGGCTATCATCAGTAAGCCAACAAATGACAAGTGCTGCTAAGGATGTGGAGAAAAGGGAACCCTTGTGCAGCTACTATGGATAACAGTATGGAGATTCCTTATTAAATTAAAAGTAGAGCTGCCAGACAGTCCAGCAATTCCACGTCCGGGTGTTTATCCAAAGAAAACAAAACCACTAACTCAAAGATATATGCACTCCTGTGTTCATTGCTGCATTACTAGTAATAGCCATCTCTATGGACATCAATAGAGTACGGCTATGGATATTCTAGGTATGGATAAAGAAGATGTGGCATATACACACAGTGGAATATTCAGCAATAAAGAGAATGAAATCTGGCCTCTGTAACAACATGAATGGACCTAGAGGGTATCAGGCTAAGTGAAATTAAGTTAAATAGAGAAAGACAAATACCATATGATTTTATGTATATGTAGAATTTAAAAGCAAAACAAATGCATAATTAAAACAATAGACCCATAAATACAGAAAACAAGCTAACGGTTGCCAAAGGGGAAGGGGGTTAGAATATGAATAAGTAGATAAATAAAAAAGAAATCTCTGTGAAAAATATGGGGGCTCAGGAGAAATTAAATGGCCTACCTAAGATCACCATAAATAACTGACAGACCCAATATTAGAAGACAAGACTTCTGACTTCTACTCTGGGGCCATTGCCACACTACAATAGTATTTTTACCTGTTCCTTCTAGGTGATAAAGTCCCCAAAAGTGTCTTGGAGATGTTTCTCAGGCAAGTAGTGGAAGCATAAAGCTGAAAACATGCATCAAATGTCATGGGGGTGGTAAGGTCAGGAACTGGTAGTAGCAGAAAAGCATGGTTGATCCAGAATGACGAGTGCAATGTTGGTAGTACAATGGTGAGTATAGCTGCCTTCCAGAATAACAAATGATCTTAAATAGATGTGGTTCTATAATCCATTGTGTGCTTCTATTTGCACCTACTTAACTTTTCAAATCCTCTTAAAATGTAATTGCCATTTCATTAATTTTGGGATTACCGGCACATATGCAATAGGACTTGAAAGAGAAGCAAACCTGAATTTCAGACTGGCTTCAGATACTCTATAAAACATACAGCTACAATTTTTTAAAAAATGTTGGAGTCAATAAGCTTTTGAAGTTGCTGCTTCAGAAAATTTAAAATGTAAATTTTGAGTCATTCTCAGCTTCCTATAAAAAATGTTATTAGTTTTAGTTTTCCAAAGTTATCTATGTCAAAATCAATTTAGTTCTACAAATCTGTAGTACTTCATCAAAGAATATGAATTAAATATGTGTCCAGCATGTTGATCTACACAAAATTTTCCATGATGCAAAATCATCTAGTCCCTGAGATGCTTCTGTAGTTAAATTTGTAACTGGAATAGTACAGCAGAGAAGAGATTTAAGAACCGGGAAGCACAGACCATAGAAATAGAATAAATTTTGGCAGCCAATGAAAATGGTAACCATTTTCAGGTGTCAAAAAACAAATTCAGATTTAGATAAGGATAGACTTTTTTTTGAAAAGACTATTGCAATAGGGGCACAGGGACTATTTTTAATAGGGATAACACTTCAACAGCAAGATTTATAAGCATCCCAGACATCAGACAGAAAGGGATTTTCATTTACAGGGAAGAGTCAAAAAGACTAGAAAGACTGGATGTGGGAAAGCGCGGTAAGCAGATGGTGTAATCAGCAGTTGAACAGGAAACGTTTCTCTTTGTGACCGGTCAATTCTT